CGCCGCCGTTGTCGACGTCATCCACCTCCACCGGCGCACTTCCAATCTCCCTTTTCGTACTCCACCACCACCATCAGCGACTCCAACGCCAACAGAAGCCCCGCCACGAGCATAGCGAGAGTGGAGAAGGATGATAGTGTTGGAAGCTGCATCTGTGTGGGAAGATCCTTCCCCATGAGCGTCGCGAACATCCTTACACCAACAGCGATTTTAACATGGACGAGCGAAAAGTATATGAGAGCCTGAGAAACTATGAGAAACGTTTGCGTATAGGAGAAACTTTTGGTATTACCACCATGAGTCAGAAGATTCGCTGATATCGTTGGTGTGATTGTAGCGCGAGTTTTAATCAGATAAATTAGCAAAATATTCGGCTATATTATAAAGACATTTCTATTAATACTGTAGCATAAGCTACAATATAATCGTTTGAAACGGATCGCAGTCTCAAGTAGCGGTATTATCCTAACGTCAAATTCAGCTGAAAATCATCGCTGTTCAAGCTGTTACGTTATCAAGCATGTTCGGCGTCTCGTACCGATATCATGCAGGAAGTCCGATATCGACGTCACGCGAAACGTTGATGTATTATGAATATAGACAGAGATAGCCGCGCTACTACAACCTCCTGCGAAATCATGGACCATCACGTACTCGATCAGTGAGATCCACTGGTGTGCGTCGCAGCGCACACGTTTACTACTGTACTAACAGTCATATCCACCGACACCTTTGCAAATGTAGAGACGTCCACGAATGCGCTATGACATCCTCACACATCTACGTTAACATTGCCTTCGGTGTCCTTCACGCTACTACAAATACAGCTTCCAGGAACACTGTCGCATATTTCCCTTCACATAGAGGAACTAAGACAAGGACATGGAGACTATACCCACGTAGAAACATCCTTGTGTTAAGATCCTGCGTTTTCACGCAGTGGTTCTCCTCGCGCAGGTCGGAATCTCCGTGACGGTTGACGAGGGTAGTAACGCGGAGGGAGATCACGATATATGTATATACATCCGCCCATTTCTCCGTCTCCATTCCCCCCCC